GGGGAGGGAACTCTGTGCCATCTCTAAATAACCTGGCACTCTAGGGGCCACTGCTGGGGTGACCCAGTATCTGTGATTCCCTGTCTATGGTACACAGAAAGGGTTGGCTAGTCCAGTAGAGTCTGGAAAAGGGTTGGGTGAATAATGGATATTTTTTTGGTTCATTGGCAATTCTGAAAAAAAAATCATGTTTCGAGTCAAACCAAACCCCAAATATTTCCAAACTTTTGGCAAATAGAAAAATCAAAGCAGATTTAATTTCAGGTGGGATTAAGTGCCTGGGTTGACTTTGACTTTGAGCATTTTTAACATTTTTAATTAACAAAAATTAAAGGAAATTTCCAAATGAAAAGTCATTTTGAATAGAAAAGTCAAAATGTTTTGTTTAAAAAAAATGTCGTTTTTTTTTCTTCAGATTTCTTTTGTGGGGCTTTTAAAAAATATTTTTGTTTTTTTTTCCTGACCCAAACAATTTGGTGACATTGACACACATTTGTGAAATGTTTTGGTATTGCTGAATCTGCCTTTTTCTCTGAAAAAAAGTTTTGGATGGAAAACTTCATCCCGCTCTAGTCTGGACCAGTCTGCTGCTTGGAGGGGTGGCAAATTCTGTTTGTATGTGGACTGAAGCCACCAATTTACTTCACATAGCACCTGATGTTCAGTCGATAGCAATCTGGGATGAATCTGAGCTAGTAATCCAGAGGTGAAAACATCCATACCCCACCCCTGTCCATTTAATTTCCCTCACCCAACCGATCCTGGAAAGCTCCTCAGAATTGGAAAGAGACAGGCTTTGATTTCAAGTCTTGTTAGTTGTCTAAATAAAACAGCTTGAAATGCCAGCTACTCCCAGGCAATGCAGAATGCCCCAGTAGAAACATCAGTCGACCTACTTAAATGGATTGCAGAGAAAATAGGACCAGCCATTGAATCCCCTTTCGAGATGGAACTCCCACTGACATTCTTGTAAGTTTCACATGTTGCGGCTACTGAACGGGGCCAGTCGTTCTTTCTCCACCAAGTGTTTCTGTGGCTGGGGCATCTTTGCAGGCCACTGGGGTAGATAATCATTGGCAAAAAGACCTCTGCACCGAACATGGAATCAGTCCTGCAAGGTGCCTCACCGCCAGCTGATGTCCCGCTGAAAGACGGGGACACTCACTGCAGGATCAATGAGGGGGGGGGGCAACAAAGCAAGCGATGAATTTTCATTTCTAGTATAGGACACAAAAGAGGAGCTTGTCTCTGCTAGAGGCTCTGGAATACTTCGCAGCCTGGAAACCATATTATAAACATTCAGCTGGCTTTGCAGATGTGTAGTAATGCAGCAAATGTTTGGGTGACACAGTAGTCAGATTTGTGGGTGTTTTTGTTTCTTCACTAATTTTTTGGCCAGACACTGATATATTATGATGGAGACTCTTGGGTCTTGCAGTGGAAGCCTGCTCCGTGCTATGTCCGTTATTGTGTTCCCCAGTCACAGATCTAGTCCAGAAGGTGCTTCTCCAGGAATTAATTCAGGCCAGGTTTCTCGTCCCAAAGGGATCCCCGAAGAGCATGTAAATTCCAAGGTGTCGCCGGGTGTTCCACTTCACTAAGCAGCTAAAACTCTCTCCCCCCGCTCCTCCAGAGCGGCTCTGTCCGAGATCAGATTTACGACCATGAAGATGATTTGGAATGAGAAAAGGGAGAAGAACTTCAGAAGTGAAGGAGGTGAGATGGAGAGACCATGATACTGTTGAGTTTGCAGTCAGCCGCTGAAAGGAAGTGCTGCCCCACAGTGGCGGACTCAGCTTCCTGGGTTCATCAGTAATCTCTCTGGAATCCAGGGAGATCACTGATGAACCCAGGATGCTGAACAGCACATACTGCCGCCTCAGACGCTCCGGAACCTGCATGGGCATAATAAAGCAAAAACTTCCCCCACCAAACCCGCAACCAGGCGTCCAGCAGAGCCTCCCCTGGCCTAGTATACCCAGGTGCACCTGGCTGAGGGGCCAGAGATAGGCGCCTCCTTCAGCTCAGGATCCTCAGCCGCAGGCCCTCTATTGGAGTCACGCACCTGAGCCAGGTCAGTTGCTTAGGTAGCTCATGCCCTAGTCACTAAGTGTCTTTCTCTTCTCCTGCTCATGCTCAATACCTCACTGACACCCCCCTACATTTCCCCGTGCCCCCAGCTGTCTTTTGTGCATGTGCTGTGCTACCCCAACTCACCCCGCCCCCCACCTATTGGTGGCCTGCATCTGGCCCTCTTGCTGTGGGGGGCAGGCAATTAACAGATCTTAGCTGTGCTCAGAGCATGCCTACAGGATCGTGCCCCACTGGTGAGACAGACATTTCCCCGCCTCGTTTGAGAATCCCAGGGCCTCTGGAGCATCAGCATGAGAGAGGGCACTGAGCAGCTCGTTAGCTGTGGGGTGGTGTCAGGGCATAGCTGGCTCTGAAAATGCTGTGCAGTGGAAACGTAGATGCCCTGTGGGCGAGATGGCGGCTGAGCGGCAGTGTTGAAAATGTCAGTGGTACCCAAATGGTGGACTTAGGCACCTCAAAGCCTTTAAGGATCTGGGCCTACCTTCTCAAAGGTAGCCACTGGTTTCGGGTGTCTTTATTCTTAGGTGCTTAACTTGACCCTTTGGGTCAGATTTTCAAATTTTCTGAGCACCTGCAGCAACCATCCAACTGGAGTTCTAGGTGCTCAGCACCTCAGTAAATCAGGCTCTAGGTGACTCAAACTGGGCATCTCCAAACCGCAAATGTCGGCTTAAATTCACTGACTTCGATGAGTTTTGAATCAGAACACTTATTTTGTGAGCTGTTCCCGTGATCGCAGCAGAGCTACTCTTGGAGTTAAGTGCTACTCAGTGTGAGTGGGGTTGGCTGCAGGATTTGGCTTTTGATTGCTGCTTGCCCTTCATTGGTGGGCTGTTCCTTTCATGCCAATTTATTAGAGGTCAAATTTGTGGATGATGAGACAGGAAGACAGAGCCAGTCTAGAATAATCTAGAGTGTTTGAGCAGCCCGGGCTGCTCCATCATATATCTAGTGTATGTCTGCCATGTATATGGAGGGGATAGCCTTGTAGTAAGTTGGAAAGGCACGTGATAAACCATGTGACTGATAAATAATCTTATGAGATGCCGGTGCGATTGTTGATGTCACATCATAATTTGATATGACATGGCATACTATGTACTACTACTACTGATGTGTCATGAAATAATGTAAAAATATTAACTGTAATACCAAATTTTGGGGGGGAGGGGGGAGGAAAGACATGAAAATGAAATTTAAAAATTGTTCCAAAAGGACAAGTGGCAGGTTTTATTATAAACTTGTGTAGCAGTTGAGCTTAAAGAACCCGTGCTCAGTACTGTACAAATAGAAACAAAACGAGCATTCCCTCTCCTGAAAAGCTCATGGTATCAGTCAATAGGGTGACCAAGAGCAAATGTGAAAAATCGGGACAGGGGTTGGGGGGTAATAGGAGCCTATATAAGAAAAAGACCCCAAAATCGGGATTGTCCCTATAAAATCGGGACATCTGGTGACCCTATCAGTCAAAGACAAAAGACAACAGGTGGATACGACAACCAGGGGAACAGAAGGTCACAGTGAGAAGGCATTGAGAAGATCCAGGTTAGGATGATGAGCAGAGGTCATAGCAAACCTGCTGCCCAGCCATTGTCAAGCTTTTTGTAAGCATCCCAGCAGGCGACAGTTTCAAGGAGGGATTTGAAGAAGAACAATGAGGTGTCTGTAGAGTAAGAAATGCAAGCTCCGTGGTAAAGGGGCCTGTAAATGAGTTGGCCGCCCCCAGGCACCCTCTTGTGGGCAGGGCGTCTCTGCCCTGTCCTGCTCTTTCTCCTCCCTCTTCCAGGCTCTTTTAACCAGACACCACATGCTTTCTCATCCAATAGGCACCCCTGTTGGGTCTGGGTTTATTAATGTAAGAACGGCCATACTGGGTCACACCCATGGTCCATCTAGCCCAGTGTCCTGTCTTCCAACAGTGGCTGGTGCCAGGTGCTTCAGAGGGAATGAGTAGAACAGGACAATTATTGAGTGGTCCATCCCCTGTTGTCTACTCCCAGCTTCTGGCAGTTAGAAGCTTAGGACACCCAGAGCATGGTGTTGCATCCCTGACCATCTTGGCTAATAGCCTTGATGGACCTGTCCTCCAAGAGCTGATCTAGTTCTTTTTTGAACTCAGACTTTTGGCCTTCACAGCATCCCCTGGCAATGAGTTCCACAGGTTGACTGTGTGTTGTGTGAGGAAGTACTTCCTTATGTTTATTTTAAACCTGCTGCCTATTAATTTCATTGGGTGACCCCTGGTTCTTGTGTTATGGGAAGGGGTAAATAACACTTCTCTATTCACTTTTTCCACACCAGTCATGATTTTATAGACCTCTGTCATATCCCCTCTTAGTCATTTCTATTCCAAGCTGAAAAGTCCCAGTCTTTTTAATTTCTCCTCATATGGAAGCTGTTCCATCCCCCCATTCAGACAAATTAACTATAAATCAAGACTCCAAGTCTCAAAAGTCTGTCCTGGGGCCTGGCTCTGACCTCAGAGCCTGAGTGAATGAGAGGGTTCCTCCACATGGTCCATTTAGCAGTTCTTAGGAGGTAACCTGCTCTGGGGTTCGGCTGGCAGTTGCCCTGCTCAGAGCTGACTTCCCCTTCAAGAAAAGCTTCAGCCCTCTTATAAGGAACCCCAGCTGTGTGCGGTTCCCTCCCCACGCCCGGTGTCTCTGGTTGGCTCATTTAGCAAGCTTGCTCCAGGCTTCAAGTCTCCCACAGGCAGTTCCCCCTCATGCCCTTTGCTCTCTCCCAAGGCCCCTGAGTAATCCCTCCACATAATGAGCAAGCAGTTACACTCTTTCTTCCTTTCCTCCTCCTACAGGAAATTCAAGGCAGCACAAGCCCAGCGATCATCTCGCCAATGCCATGTGTGCTCAGTAAGGTGCGAGGTCCCCTGGGAGACTCATATCAACATGTTCAGTGAAAAGAGCAGCACCTCTTTGTCCAAGAAACCTAGCCAGAAAAAGACCAGGCCCCAGGGGCTCCCATCCCCTGCTCTCTGCTGCGCCTGCGGACTTTGCATCATGCTCGCCGGGATCAACATCACCCTGGTGGGAGCGTTCGCTTTTGGGACCTTCCTCCCCGTGAACAACCCCCCCATCATCATCGGACCCATCCTGCTGGTGGTTGCTTTCACGTTCTTCGGGGCCTGCTGCATCTGTAGCCGGAGACCACCCGCCCATGGGGCGAGGAAATCCAAGCCAGGTTCCAACATCGGGCTCATCAAACCCGGTAACACGGCCTTCGAGATAGAAACCAGCGAGCACACGGTGCAGGACACCACCGCCGTGCAGCTGAGCCCAACCAACTCGCCTGTGTCCTCCAGAAAGTCCACACCCGTCCATGAGAACTCCAAGACCTGCAAACTCTTCACAATGGATGGTAACGGGCCGGCGGCAAAATACACAGCAGGAGGGGAATCAATTCAGCTGAACTTGCCTAGAGACCTTATGACATCCTAAGTCAAGTCAGAGTGGTTATTAGCAGCCAGGTGGGCACTGCAGTTGGGCGTGCCATGATCAGATGGATACAGCCGTTAGGAAGAAGCAAGCCTACAAAATCCTTTTGTGTGGCCAACCGATACGTTGACATCTTAAAAACCAGTTAAGAAAGGAAAGGGATGACATGGTAATTGGAAACAGTGGTGGGAAATTCCAGCTTTTTTCTGGAATGGGCGCATTTATTTAATGTGATTAGAAATAACGCTGTAATGAGGAATCGATATGGCCTAGCTACTGGGAAATTAGAGATCTTCTTTTGGAATGAATTCATTTCTTTAGTGCAACTTAAAAAAAAAAAAGTAACGTCGTGATTAGAATTCAGTGCCACAGAGTGCTGGCAAATTACAGGTCTCTCTTTTTGGAAGGGATGCAGTTTTTAATGTAATAAAAATGACCAATGTAGTAATTAGATATTGATACCACCCAGTTCCTGGGAAATTACAGATCTTTGAGACTCGGCTTTGGGGGGGGTTGAGGAAGAATCAATTTATTTTAACGCAATTAAAAATGCAACACAAAAATGTAACTTCCACTTTTTCTCCTGTCTCAACCTTTCCTTTCTTTTTTGACTTCCACTCTAACTCTAGCAGCCAGCAGATCTCAAGTGCAGCAGATAGCGTCAGCCGTTTTTCCTCCTGCATAATTCAGATTCGGGTCTCAGTCCTGCTGTCTAACACGCCACATCGCTTGGAAGGTCAGCTGTGCCTGAGTAGGTAGGGGCTGCAGGTGATTGGTTAAGCCAGGCCTTGCAATAGGTGGAGAGTATCAGAAGAGGCAGCCCATAGACCTAATGGAAAAGGAAATGGAGTCATGTGGAAAGAGGTTCCACTGAGCAATAGAAATGGAGCGAGATAAGATGATGCACCTGAGCCCCCTTTGGGGGGGAACTCTGGGCCTGGCTTGGACATGGCTATTTAGAGTCAGTGTTTATTTGGGAATGAAAATAACCGTAATGTTGTTATTGTTACAGCTGGTGGGGAATTTTTCAGTGAATTGGTTTCAGTGACAATTTCTTAAGGATGGTTTCTCAGGTCCAGGATGGAATTTCTGGGGAGGGAGAAATAGCCCTCACCTGGGATGTGGGGGAACCAAGTGCAAGTCCCTGATTTGGAGCAGGGACTCAAAACTGCATTTCCGACATCCCAGGCAGGTGCCCTGACCACCAGGTTACTGGTTATTCCATGGGCTCTGTCTGGCTTGTGGTTTCTCCAGGCCCCTACTTGCCAGAAGTCAGGCCAACTGATCTAGAAGATGACCAAAGGGATCTGTGTCTCTTCCCTTTAAGTGACTGTAAATCCCACTGACTTTGATATGAGCTGCGTGTGTACAGTAAGAGGAGAATAAGTTCCCTAAATAAGGGCACCATGGTTTCCTGTGTTGTAAGGCATTGGGAAGGTGGAAAGGATATTTGCTGGAGAGGACCCTGAATCTATGGAAGGGAGGAAGTGCTGTCCTGCTGCTGTACATGGAAGGTTCCCATCTGACTCTGGATGCTCAGGGCTTCCTGGCTTTGGGGATAGGACGTACCTTGTAGCAGGTAGAGACGCAGAGCTGGGGAGCAACTGCTGAATGCAGCCTGCTTCCTTCTGACACACAATACAGTGGAAGGTAATGCCACTGTGAGCAGCAGTAATCTGGGCTCCTTGCAGTCTGCTCTTCTTGCAGGTGAGCAGAGCACAGTGCAGCAGAGGTAGACAGAGCCGTACTCTAGAGACGGAGGGTCTGCAGGATGGTTTAGAGGCGGGGGTTGTAGCTCCTTTCGCCCACTGACAGTATCGCCAACCCGAAATGTTCAAAAATCAGGAGTCACGCCTGCCCAAAATCACAAGAGTGGCTCAGATAGCATGAGATTATTTTAACAAATAATTAACGTTGGATTCTGTTTAATCATCTTCTGGGCTTTAAGCCTTTGTGGGACATGTTTTCAAGTTGTTTTGCCATTACCAAGAGAAAGAGAGAGACTTTTTTTTTTTTAAAGTAAGCTGAAATTCTCACATATTCACATGATTCCAGGAGCTGGGGCTTTCAGAAAAATATCAAATAGCATGAGACAGATATTACTATCTTGAGAGTTGACAACACTGCGTTAATCTCCAGGTTCCATGGGATTTTGAGCTTGCCAAATCTCCCTCCGAAGGGAAACATTTTGATGGAAGCTCGGAGTTTTTTTAAGACCTCCTTTCTCAATGGGGGATAGTGACGTGTCTTGTCTTTTGCTCTTTATACAACATACCTAATATGAAGGAATGACACAGGCCAAATAACTACGTTTACTACGTTAGAGTGAGTCAGGAAATGGTTTTTTCCATTAAAATTTTCAAAAAACAATTATGTCCTGAAATGGGATAAAAAATCAAAAATCTCGATAAGTTTCACAAACTGAAAATCTCTCCCCCCCCCCCCCCCCCCAAAAAAAAATTGGTTGGAGCAATCAAAACATTTCATTTAGATTGTGACCATTTTTATTACTTTTAAAATAATTATAATTCGCTTAAAATTTGATACAAAAAGTCATTTTGAATGGGAAAACCGGAATCGTTTCATTTAGGAAACATCGAAATGAAAAGCTGCGACAATTTCAAAACCTTATTTTAAAAAAAATTATAGTCGAAAAATTTGTCAAAACCGACCATTGCCCATGAACATTTTCAGTTTTGATGCATCAGCATTTTCCTATGGAAAAAAACGTTCCCTGAAAAATTCACAACCAGCTCTACTGAACATAAGAACGGCCAGACTATGTCAGACCAATGGTCCATCTAGCCCAGCCCAGTATTCTGTCTTCTGACAGTGACGAATGCCAGGTACTTCAGAGGGAATGAACAGAACAGGGAATCATCAAGTGATCCAATGTATATAACATGTCAGGCCTAGCCACATACATACACTGCGGCAGAGGTCTGGTAGCTACAGAAATATGGAAGACAGCCAGGGTTCAAAAATTACTTACAGGGCCACTATCCTGTTCCTACACTATAGTATCATAGAAATGTAGGGCTAGAAGGGACCTTGAAGGTCATCTAGTCCAGCACTCAGGCATGGACCTGGGGCTTTAGGATCAGTGGCCTTGGAGGAGCATTTGCCGTTGTAGTTTTCATTGAGGAGCAAATCCGGCATGATGGCATCCGCACATTTATGGGACTATCACAGAGGCCAGAGCTTTTCCAACACCACCTCCGCACCCCTTCCCTTTTATTTCCTCTGTTTCTCCTTAAACTCATTGTTACATTCTCCTGCCTCCTCAGTCTAGTTTCTCTTCTCCGGGACCTTATTTTGAAACATGTCATATTTCTCCAAAGAGGGTTAGGGAAGACCCCAGATAGTTGATTGAGGGCTTCATCTCCCATGCTGGCCCCGCAAAGCCAGCTTCATTTGCTGCACGTGGGACCATTCCATCCTCAAATTATTTCTGGCTCTCCCTGCAGAGCCTCCCTTTCGGCCTGTTACATGGCTAGCAGCCCAGCTGCAATGTCCACCCTCCTTTGCCCTCCCCCGGTTGCATCAATTACTGGTGGCTTTCCTGGTGTTTTATCGTGAGGTCATGCCAATCCCCAATAGCCACGAAAGGATGGGTGCCGTTCAGTGCTGTTAATTCAGCTAAGAGAGGATTTTCAGGTCACAGGTGAGAGCTGAATCCATTTCCCTTTGTACACCTAGACAAAGGAAACTGTGCCATTGGTCCCCCCCGGGACACGGTCCCGCTCAGAACAGCAAGCCAGCAAAACCAAAGTGACAATAAAAGTACCGTGCAGCCAGCTATTAGCGCTGCAGACTGGCTCTTCCAGACGACGGGGCCGTGCCGAGGGGCAGCCGGTCCCCCAATATTGTGCACAGCACCCACCAGTAGGGGGCAGCGCGAGTTGCAGCAATGGGATTCCAAGAGGGCTGCCTACGCTGCATTTCGCAAGCCGGCAGCCATCAGGGAAGCCGTTTTCAACAGGTGGCCATAGAGCCTCATCCAAAGCCCATTGTGCTCAATGGAAGGCCCCCTCCACGCACTTCAATGGATCAGGCTTTTCATGAGAAGGAGGCAGAGTAAGGAGGGAAGGGGAGAAAGAGCAAAGGGGAAGAGAGCGCCCCCTACTGGTGAAATTTACTTTAACCGCTGCATGTGAGTTACAGGTGCCGTGTAATGGTTCCGCTTACAGCCCACGCTGCAATCATGGGGAGGAATGCACATGTGTCCCACACGCCCCCTCAGGAGAACGGCCCCCTCAGAGCTACTGCTGAGTACCCCAGCGCAGCCTGTTGCTGTCAGGTTAGAACATGTCAGTCAGACTCCTTAGTCTGTGCTAACCCCCGGGGATCTGCAGTCCCGCCACCCCTATTCTCCTGGGAATTGGTTTGGTTGGCCTGGGCTGGGGAACGCCAGCCTTCGAAGGGTTAAGGTGAGCGCAGTGCACTTTTCTGTCAGAAAACTGATTGGTCCTGGGAACAGACCCATTTATTTTTTTCCTGCCATCGCTCTGTTCCCTAGAGGGGACGGGCAGCAGCATAGGTGGGTCCCTCACCCCACGGGATTTTCAGAGGAAGTCGGCACCTATGTAACTTCAAGAGTTGTTAGGCAGAAGAGAAGGGAGGTATTCGGGGCCTGATTCGAAGTGCACTGAAGCCAGTGGAAAGACTCCCGTGGAGTTCAGTGAGTGTTGAATCAGGACCTTGGTGAACGTTGATTTGGAGGTCGTTCTAAGAGCAGGGATGAGATTGGAGCGAGCCACTTCCTATCATTTCTTGTTCATTGGATTATTAATAGGCATGTGCCGATTGTCGTGAATGGACCCCAGCACTTTACAGAACAAAGAATAAGACACAGTCCTGGTCCCAAAGAGTTTGGACTAGGATTTTCAGCCAATGGTAGTTGGGCGTCATTCAGCGGTAGGCGTGAACTGAAGACCTGGATGTCAACCACATCAAGGCACAATTCCACTGTGGTTTAACTTAGATCGTACTGACCTTTGGCAGATTACTCCTCCCCCTGTAGCAATGAGCTCCATGCTGAATTCAGAATCAATCCTTCTTCTGTGAGAATGAATTACCTGAGCAAGATTACAGCAGGGCTGCCGGAAGGAGACAAAGCAAACAGATTAGCAGGTGCAAAGCATGGAACTTTCTTTATCGGGTGTCAGGCACTGACAGGCCCATCCGGTCATCATCAGAAGGTTAGTAGGGCATGATACTTGGGGTGGACGCTGATAGCAGTGTAAACGGGGACAAATCCTTAGGACTCTGATAGAGAACCAAGGGAGGCCATTGAGTCAATAGAAGCCACATGAGTTTCAACAGGTTTGGATACACAGAAAAGCCTGGCGTGCTGGACCTATTATGCCGCTTTCATTTAGTCCGGCCACTGACTTAGCACTTGGGCGGCAGGTGGCTCTGGAATAATTCCAACACCAACACCAGGGTCAGCATAACTACAGTCTAACAATAGTCTTGCGATAGAAACTGCCCTTATAGCAGGCTGTTGCAGATGGGAAGGGATGGTCCAGAGATCAGGAAACTAGTGTGGCACTTGGGAGACTTGGCCTCCATTTCCTGCTCCGCCACAGACTTCCTGTGTGACCTTGGGCAAGTCATGTAGCCTGTCTGTGACTCAGTTCCCCATCTGTACAGTAAGGACGATAGATCTTTCCTAAAGCACAGGGGGGAAGAGGGGAGGACAAATACATTAAAGATGGAAATGTGCTACAGGGATGGGGGCCAGATAAAGCACCGACGACAGAAAGATGGGTGGATCCAAACACTCCTGAGCTCTGGGAATGTTTAAATCTGCATGTGGCTTTGAGGCGCAGGCCTAGCGCCATACGGTATATTTTGGAGTTAACGTCCTTGGTAAGATCTTGGACATCCACCTGATTGCATTAATATCTCCTACAGCAAACTCTCCTTTGGCACATATGATCAGATAGTCTGGGCTAAGAATTTTCATTAGTTTTGGTTGCTGTTCTATTGATATACTTAATAAGGCAAAATATCCCTCTGCAATTGGTTGGATCCCAAACTCCAGGCTCCCAAGTCTTCTTGGAACATCACCCCATGGCCTAAATGTATTTCATGGGGTTGTCTTGTTGTTCAGATCAACAGTTATTGGGATTGTTTGCCCCAGATACTCGGGGCAGACAAATTACAAAATCAACCAGTAAATTATACTTCTCCCTCTTCCCATTTTCAAAAAATGAATAATCTCACTGGAGGCGTATTTCAGATCAAGATCAGCATTGTGAAATGCACCATACAAGGTGTCATGGGCAGTAAAGTGGGAGCCAGTTAGGGCCTGCTACTAATCCCATAGAAGCACGTGGCAAAACTCTCATGGACGTCAATAGGAACATGAGCAGCTTACAGTTTTTTCTTGTTTGTCCATATTGTGGTAGTGCCTAGAAGCCCTAACCAAGCATCAGGGTCCCATTGTGCTCAGAGCTGTACACATGTGTAATGCAAAGATGGTCCCTGCCCCAAGGTAAAGTTAACTTTACAATCTAGGTATAAGACAAAAGGTAAATGCAACAAACACCGGGGGGAAGGGGACAAGGGAACAGTGAGACAATGGTGTCCCTAGCCTCTGTTTGCAAGAAGCTGGGAATGAGCGACAGGGGATGGATCACTTGATGATTACCTGTTCTGTTCATTCCCTCTGGGGCACCTGGCACTGGCCACTGTCAGAAGACAGGATACTGGGCTACATGGACTCTTG